AGAGTTGGACACTTAACCAACTGTGCCACCCAGGTGCCCCTGGAAAAAAAAAATTTTTTTTAAATATTTTGTTTATTTATTTGACAGAGAGAGAGCGAGAGAGGGAACACAAGTAGGGGGAGTAGGAGGCGGAGCAGACTCCCCGCTGAACAGGGAGCCCGATGCGGGGCTCGATCCTAGGACCCTGGGATCATGACCTGAGCCGATGGCAGATGCTTAATGACTGAGCCACCCAGGCACCCCTGGAAATTTTTTTTTTAAAGATTTTTTTAAGTAATCTCTACACCCAACATGGAGCTCAAACTCAAAACCCCAAGATCAAGAGTCACATGCTCCACCGATTGAGCTAGCCAGGTGCCCCTGGAAATTTTTACCACTAGAATATAAACTACATGAGAGCAGGGACCTTGTCTGTCTTATCCATACATGAATCTATGTACAGCAAAGAAGGTGAATTGAAAGAATGAGTGTACACCAAGCAATGGATGTGGGAGAGGAAAGTGAGAAGAAAGGCTAATAATTATATTCTCCGAGTCTTTTAAAATGAGAATATAGTCATATATTACTTGTGAAAAAAGGAAGGCTAAGAAATAAAGCGAAGGTGGCTCAGCTGGTTAAGCATCTGCCTTCGGCTCGGGTCATGATCCCAGGGCCCTGAGATCGAGCCCCACTTAGGGATCTTTGCTCAGTGGGGAGCCTGCTTCTCCCTTTCCCTCTGCCTCTCCCCCTGCTTGTCCTCTCTCTTTCTCAAATAAATAATCTTTAAAAAAAATAAAAACAAAAAAGAAAGCAAAGAATCAGTGCTACCCAGGGTTCTGTATTCTTCAGACCCACCTTCATTTTCTTTTTTCTTTTTTTTTTTTTTTAAGATTTTACTTATTTGAGAGAGAGAGAGAACACAAGTAGGAGAGAGGGAGAAGCAGACTCCCTGCTGAGCAGGGAGCCCGATGTGGAACTTGATCTCAGGACCCTGGGATCGTGACCTGAGCCGAAGGCAGGCGCTCAACCCACTGAGCCACCCAGACGCCCCCCACCCCCACTCATTTTCTGTTTTTATTCTTTTTTTTTTTTTTTTAAGATTTTTATTTATTTGACAGAGAGAGACAGCGAGATAGGGAACACAGCAGGGGGAGTGGGAGAGGGAGAAGCAGGCTTCCCGCCGAGCAGGGAGCCCGATGTGGGCTCGATCCCAGGACCTGGGATCATGACCTGAGCTGAAGGCAGACGCTTAACGACTGAGCCACCCAGGCGCCCCTAGATTGTTTCTCCTAAATGCCTTGATTTGAAATGCCTTTATACTTTTTTGATCTGAATTTTTACAATAACGTCCTAAAAAGGTCTCATTTTCTCTTATCTTCCCTATCCCCCTACTTTTTCTACACAGCTGCCAGAATTATCTGACTAAAACAGAAAACTGATCATGTCAATTTCTTTATCATGTCAATTTCTTAATCCTTCAGGATTCAAAGAATCTCCTCACAAGATTCTTATTAATTACAAAGGAATAAAATAGTAACTCTACAGTAGAGAAACCTTACCAGCAGCACTTAACCAAAGGATCAGAGTTAGTGTCGCCAGGAAAGGTGCAAATCAACATGTGCTCTTAATGTGATATATTAAGAATACTGTATTACTTCCATGGCATTTTTGCCCATATTGAAACCTGAATTTATTTATTTTTAAAGATTTTATTTATTTATTTGAGAGAGAGCACATGAGTGGGGAGGGTCAGAGGAAGAAGCAGACTCCCTGCTCAGCAGGGAGCCCGATGTGGGACTCGATCCTGGGACTCTGGGATCATGACCTGAGCCGAAGGCTTTGCTTAACCAACTGAGCCACCCAGGCGCCCTGAAACCTGAGTTTAATCAGGAGGAAACATCAGGCAAACCCACACTGAGAGACCTTCTCATTATACTGGCCTGTATTCTTAAAAAATATCAAGGTGGGGGGCGCCTGGGTGGCTCAGTTGGTTAAGCGTCTGCCTTCGGCTCAGGTCATGATCCCAGAGTCCTGGGATCGAGTCCCACATCGAGCTCCCAGCTCAGCGGGGAGCCTGCTTCTCCCTCTAACTCTCTTCCCTCTCATGCTGTTTTCTCGCTCGCTCTCTAATAAATAAATAAATAAAATCTTTAAAAAAAAATATATCAAGGTAGGGCGCCTCGCCTGGGTGGCTTACTAGGTTGAGCCTCCGCTTTTGGCTCAGGTTATGATCCTAGGGTCCTGGGATCCAGCCCTGTGTCGGGCTCAGTGGGGAGCCTGCTTCTCCCTTTGCTTGTGCTCCCTCTCTTTCTGTCAAATAGATAAATCTTTAAAACATAATAAAGAAGAAAGAAAAATCAAGGTCATGAAAGACCCAAAAGCATTAGTAATTTTTTCAGATTAAAAGAGTTTAAAGGGGCAACTGGGTGGCTCAATCGGTTGAGTGTCTGACTCTCGATTTCGCCTCAGGTCATGATCCCAGGGTCAGCGTCCTGAGATTGAGCCCTGCTTGGGATTCCATGCTCAGCGGGGAGTCTGTTTGAGATTCTCTCCCTCTGCCTCTCTCCCCTGCTTGCACGCGCTCTCTCTCTCTCAAATAAAAAAAATCTTAAAACATAAAAGTTTAGGGCGCCTGGGTGGCTCAGTTGGTTAAGCGACTGCCTTTGGCTCAGGTCATGATCCTGGAGTCCCAGGATCGAGTCCCGCATTGGGCTCCCTGCTCAGCAGGGAGTCTGCTTCTCCCTCTGACCCTCCTCCCTCTCATGCTCTCTGTCTCTCATTCTCTCTCTCTCAAATAAATAAAATAAAATCTTAAAAAAAAAACCATAAAAGTTTAAAGAAGCTTGGCAACTCAGTGCAGCACATAGTCTTGGATGTTCTTTTGTTAAAGGAGATTATTGGGACAAGTGGCAAAATTGGAAGAGGGTTTGTAAATAATAGTATTATGTCAACGTTAATATCCTGATTTCTATAATTTTACTATCGTTATATAAGAAAATTTTTTTTAAAGATTTTATTTATTTGATAGAGCGAGCACAAGCAGGGGGAGCAGCAGAGGGAGAAGCAGGCTCCCCACTAAGCAAGGAGCCCGATGTGGGGCTCGATCCAGGACTCTGGGATCAGGACCGGAGCCAAAGGCAGATGCTAACTGAGCCACCCAGGCGCCCCAGAGAATACTCTTTTTAGGAAATACACAATAAAGTTATTTAGGGATAAAGGCATCCAGTATGTAATTTATTCTTAAGCAGTTTAGAAAATTTTCATCTATTCATGTATATAGAGAGGGATTATAAAAAATGTGGTAAAACGTTAACATTTAGGGAATCTAGATGAAGGACATATGGGATCTTTTTACTATTTGTGGAACTTTTCTGAAAGTCTGAAATTGTCAAAATAAAAGATTTTTTTTTTTTTAAAGATTTTGTTTATTTATTTGAGAGAGAGTGAGAGAGCACAAGCAGCAGGGAGGGGCAGAGGGAGAGGGAGAAGCCGACTCCCCACTGAGCAGGGAGCCTGATGCGGGGCTCAATTCCAGCACCCTGGGATCATGACCTGAGCCGAAGGTAGACGCTAACCAACTGAGCCACACAGGTGCCCAAAAGAAAAGATTAAAAAGTATAAGTGTATGTCAACAAAGGAAATCCTTTAGGTCCTCCCATAGCTTTCAGGTTAATTCCAAGTCTGGTGAAGTGTCCCAGGGCCTTCAGTGCTTGGCTCCTGCCCGCCTCTCTGTGCATCTTCTGGCATATCTCTGCACAAACCCTTAGCTGACTTCTTGCTTCTTGCTTCATGCTATTTTATCTACCCTAGAAGACCCATGCCCTGCTCCATTATGCTAACTCCTCATTTTTTAACACAGTGGTTCTCAACCAGGGGTGATTTTTGTCCCCCAGAGGATATATGCCAATGTCTGAAGACATTTTGGGTGTCAAAACTGGAGGACTACTACCAACTTCTAGTGGGTGGAGGCCAGGGATGCTGCTAAACATTCTTCAGTGCACAGGCTGGCCCCCTACAATAAGGAACTTTCTAGCCCAAATGACTATAGTGCTGTAGCTGTGAACCCTTGTTGTAAACATATTGTGAGAGCCATTTCCGAGAAGTCTTTCTGACCATCCCCAGTCTGATTTAGATCTCCCTCTTTTTTGTTTTAAGATTTTATTAATTTGAGAGAGAGAATGAGAGAGAGAGAGACAGCACGAGAGGGGGGAGGGTCAGAAGGAGAAGCAGGTACCCTGCCGAGCAGGGAGCCCAATGCAGGAGTCAATCCTGGGACTCCAGGATCATGACCTGAGCCAGTCGCCTCACCAGCTGAGCCACCCAGGCGCCCTCCCCTCCTTTTTTAAATTCAAATTCAAGTTAGTTAACATATAGTATAGTATTGGTTTCAGGAGTACAATTTAGTGATTCATCACTTAAACATAACACCCAGTGCTCATCACATCAAGTGCCCTCCTTAATACCCATCACCCAATTAGCCCATCCTCCCACCTGCCTTCCCTCCAGCAACCTTCAGTTTGTTTTCTATAGTTAAGAGTCACTTATGGTTTGCCTCCCCCTTTGTTTTTATCTTATTTTCTTTTTCCCTCCCTTCCCCTATGTTCATCTGTTTGGTTTCTTAAAGTCCACATGTGAGTGAAATCATATGATAATTGTTTTTCTTTGATTGAGTTATTTGGCTTAGCATAATACACTCTCTTTCCATCCACATCGTTGCAAATGGCAAGATTTCATTCTTTTTGATGGTAGAACTCCTTCTTCTGTGTTCCTCTATTACCTTGTGCTTTTCTTTTCTCCTCATCACTTAATCTCACAGGGACTAGGTTTTATTAGGCTTATTGATGTATAGCTACTACTCAGTAAATGTCTAGTAAATGAATACTATGTAGATTGTTTTACAGTATGGTTTTTTGGCTAAACTTTTAAAAACGAGGTTTTAGGATTAAAGGAAAACATTGCTCTTAATTTATCCTTCCCTGCCCGACTTCTGATATTAATATGCTATTTCTTTGCTATTGTAGAAGCCAGGATTCTTTTGGTTGTAAAGTGGAGAAACCCAACTCAAAGTAGGGTAAGCAAAAAGAGGATACTAAGGTGTTTCACAGAAACTAAAGACAGGAAGGCCTTGGGAACAAACCAGGCACTTGAAGCCTCAGGACTCTTTCCAGCTCTTATCTAAGCCTTTCTCACTGTGTCTTTTCCAAGCTTTTCTTTCCATCTGTAGATTTTTGTCTTCTCAGTCCACATGACAGCCAGAGAAAGACCAAATTAACTTTCTTGGTGTTCAGCTCAAATAAATTCTCAGGGATAGGATCCGTTGGCCCCACCTGGATAGGATAACCCTCTGCCCAATCAGTTGTCGCTTAGGGTGAGGTCTAAGTAAAGTGGGGCAACTCCCACTGGAGCCACATGGATGAGAGACACAGGAGCATAAGCCCTGTAGCGTGGCTGCTGGATGACCTGTGTCATGGGGTGGACTGCAGCTCTCTAAAATTGAGGTACACATGGGGCGCCTGGGTGGCTCAGATGGCTAAGTGTCTGCCTTCCGCTCAGGTCTGGGATTGAGCCCCATGTCAGGCTCCCAGCTCAGCGGGGAGTCTGCTTCTCCCTCTCCCTCCACCTCTCCCCCTGCTTGTGCTCTCTCTCTCACAAATGAATAAATAAAAATCTTAAAAAAATAATAATAATTACGTTACACAGAACATAGACACTGTGGGCTGCTCTTGTTCTCTGACTACCATCCTCATTGGTCAGTTCAGTGAGGTGTGACAAGGAGAATCACAGGGACCTTAGTTCTGGGTTTTACATGTCTTCATGTCTTCAATATCACCGTTCATGTACTCACCCTAATCCATCACTGTTTATGGATTTAAGAGAATTACATCCTTTGCTTCCATTTTTTTTTTCCTATTATGTTGGTCTTGGAACAGATCAGAGGTCTGAGGGGAGACACATACGTGGTAGGTACCCCCCTCCCCACCCCATTTTATAGGCGATAGTCTGGCCAAGGTGGTTTACAGTGACAATTTCAGAGGGATTGTTTATAAGCTTTAAGTAATCTACACACCCATTGTGGGGCTCGAACTCACAACCCCAAAATCAACAGTTGCATGCTCTACCAACTGAGCCAGCCAGGCGCCCCAGGATTTTTCTCAGTTGAAAGAGACAAAAACCAAGCTCAAACTAGCCTACACATAATAGAGAATTTGTTGGCTCATGTAACTGATGTTCAAAAGGTGATTGTGGCTTTAGGCATGGCTAAATCCCGGACCTCAAATGATCTCATCTGAATTGTCTCTCAGCTCTGCTTTCTTTATTATTTGCTTCATTCTATAAGCAGGCTCTCATTAATGGCAGAAATGATCTCAACACCTCATCCTACCAGCTGTGCAACCCCAGGGGAAAAAGCCACTCTTGGGAGCTCCATAGAAGTGCCAGGCATCACTCTCACTGTCCTGGGTTGGGTCACATGTCCACAGGAAGCAGGCTACAATTCCTAAAGGAAAACTGGTGCTATTTACAGAAAATGGGATATTAGATAGGTGAAGTAGGAGCTGTCCACTATGCCCTCACTGCTGGAAGCTTCTACTGAAAGCAGCATTTGAACACACTAAACGTTTTATTGATTTGTAAGGAACTGTGCTTGGTGCTACATTGGATGCAGAACCTAAGTTTCTGCTCTTAAGGAACTTTTATTTTTATTTGTTTTTAAGTTTTTTTTTTTTTAAAGATTTTACTTATTTATTTATTTGAGAGAGCGAGAATGAGAGAGAGAGCGCACATGAGAGGGGGAAGGTCAGAGGGAGAAGCAGACTCCCTGCTGAGCAGGGAGCCTGAGGTGGGACTCGATCCCGGGACTCCAGGATCATGACCTGAGCTGAAGGCAGTCGCTTAACCAACTGAGCCAGCCAGGCACCCTTGTTTTTAAGTTTTAATTTATTTATTCATTTTAAGTAATCTCTACACCCAACGTGGGGCTCAGACTCATGACCCTGAGATCAAGAGTCGCATGCTCTACTGACTGAGCCAGCCAGGCGCCCCTGCTCTTAAGGAATTTTTAATCAAGTAATAGAAATTAAACATACATATAAATAATGATTACTATCATGTGTTGAGTGCCTACTATGGGCCAGTAGGCACTTTGTTAAATGTGTGTTTTGTTTTGTTTTTTTACGATTTATTTCTATATTTTAGAACATGTGCTGGGGGTGGGGGCAAAGGGAGAGAGAGAAGGAGAAGACTTCCTGCTGAGCTTGGAGCCCAAAACAGTGCTTGATCTCATGACCCCAAGACCACGACCTGAGCTGAAATCGAGTCAGACCCTCAACTGACTGAGCCATCCAGGCGCCCCTTAATGTTTTATATACATAATCTCTTTGTGGATAACTCTGAAAGTCACTTCTATTTTTATTTATACCCATTTTATCTATTTAAAAAAAAATAAACAGGCTTAGGAAGTTTATGTAGCCTGCCCAAGGTCACATAGCTAGTGAAGAGTAGACGATGAATCCAATCAGTTTTGACTCAATCCAGTGCTGTACTTTAGCTTGCACTGACCTAGCAAGGTCTTTCTGCATCCCATTCTTTCTACCCTTTTAAGTCAGACACCATGATTCTAAATTCCTGAGAACTATCTGACTTAGCTCATCTTTTCTAGGACATCACAGTTGATGGCTGGTCTCTTGCGTGGCTGCCCTTGTATTAGGTGCCCATCCTCGATCCAGTTAGCCCACCAGTTGGAAATCCACAGGAGGGTTTCAGTCACTGTTCAGCGACTTCTTTGGGTTTGACCCTTAGAAAGTCCGAAGAGGAGGCATGGCAGCCTCACTGCTCTTTGAGTCCTTGCTCTCCTGAAGCTCCCTTCTTTATCCCCATCACCACCACTAAGTTCAGACTATCACTCTCTCTCTCCTGCCTTCATGTTCTTCCTGTCTCCAGTCTCACCCCTGTTGACAGAGTGAAGAGTACTTTTATTGCATCATTCCTTTGAAGTCTTTCAGTGGTTTCCCATAGCCTTCAGGGTAAAGCCCAAACTCCTTACATAAGATTTCTCATGGCCTGACCCTTGCTTGCCTCTCTAGCCTTGTATCTAGACACTCCCTCCTTTGGAGCCTTTTTCTGAACCACTCAGAGCTCCCTGAACCCATCATATGTCCTCTTACCTCTGGGCTTTTGAATGTACAGTTTCATGTGCCTAAAGCCCTAAAGATAACGCCCTACCCTGCCCCCATCCCCAACACCCAGCTACACTTGCTTGTCCTGTTGATGACACCTACTCCTGTAAAACTTGTCAAAATCACCCTCTCCTCTCAGCCTGGGTTAGGTATCCACATCTTTTGCCCTCATAATGCCCTGTCAAGGCATTTATCATTTCATATTTTATTTTATTTTTTATTTTTATTTTTTTTTATTCTTTTAAGATTTTATTTATTTATTTGAGAGAGAGAGGATAAGAGACAGCACGAGAGGGAGGAGGGTCAGAGGGAGAAGCAGACTCCCCGCTGAGCAGGGAGCCCGATGCGGGACTCGATCCCGGGACTCCAGGATCATGACCTGAGCTGAAGGCAGTCGCTCAACCAACTGAGCCACCCAGGCGCCCTTATTTTATTTATTTTTTAAAGATCTTATTTATTTATTTGAGATAGAGCGAGAGCGAGCAAGCGAGTGAGAGAGCACAAGCAGGGGGAGCGGCAGAGGAAGAGGGAGAAGCAGGCTCTCCACTGAGCAGGGAGCCCGACATGGGGCTTGATCCCAGGACCCTGATACCATGACCTGGGCTGCAGGCAGCTGCTTAACCGACTGAGCCACCCAGGCACCCCCATTTCATACTTTATTTTATTTTTATTTTTTTATTTTTTAAAGATTTTATTTATTTATTTGACAGAGAGAGGGAACACAAGCAGAGAGAGCAGCAGAGGGAGAGGGAGAAGCAGTCTTCCCGCTGAGCAGGGAGTCCAATGCAGGGCTCGATCCCAGGACCCTGGGATCATGACCTGAGCTGAAGGCAGGATGCTTAACGGCTGAGCCACCCAGGTGCCCCCCCATTTCATATTTTAAATGTATGCTTATGTAGTATCTTCTCCTGTTAGAATTAAGTTTCTTGAGTCAGATTTCCCCCCCCAAATGACTGGCACATAGTAGGCGCTCAATAAATAATTGTTGAACAAATGAATGGATCTTGGCAGTGAGTTCAGATTGGCACATATTTGTGGCTTCTTTTGAGCTGGGCTTTTTTTTTTTTTCCTCTTGCTCCTTCCAGGACCTGGGTTTCAGTGATGAGACATGGGGTATGATGTAACCCGTTTCCAGGGGGATGTTGACGAAGACCTTATCTGTCCTATTTGCAGTGGAGTCTTGGAGGAGCCAGTCCAGGTGAGTTGGTCTGATGGCAGTTTTGGTGGGGGCCATAGACGACAGCGGAGCTAATAGACAACATAAGGCACTGTGTTCTGGCTCCCCTTCCGCCACCGCCTTGACGCCACACGTACACAGATGAGACGTTTGGTGCAGAGAAGCAGTGGTGGCTGCAAAAGGAACAGGGCCTTCCAGAGTCTGTCTGAGGTGGATGCCACAGAGGTCCTGTGCTTCAGATTTTCTTCTGAGCTTGCGCTGAGATTTTTCTGCTGTAAAATGGTCACCCTGTTTCTGTCTTTTGACAGTGTTCAGGAACTTCCTTTCCTCTGCAGGGGCTCTGACTAGGTTCCATCTTCCTAGCTATGACTGAACTTCTAGACTTTCCTGATAAGTTCTCTCTCTGTGATGATGTAATGTTTCGCTTAATCAGCTGGTCTGCCTGCAGGCCTTTTCAGCCTGCTTCCTAACTAACAAGCAAGGAGTGGGGACTCTATGTATTGTCCTCTTTTCTTCCTGGGATTTATTAGAAAAACCAATTTTTTTTTTTAAAGATTTTATTTATTTATTTATTTGAGAGAGAGAATGAGATAGAGCATGAGAGGGAGGAGGGTCAGAGGGAGAAGCAGACTCCCTGCCGAGCAGGGAGCCCGATGCGGGACTCGATCCCGGGACTCCAGGATCATGACCTGAGCCGAAGGCAGTCGCTCAACCAACTGAGCCACCCAGGCGCCCAGAAAAACCAATTTTTGATGCAGCCTTGTACTCTGCATTTTGATATGAAAGCTGCCACCTGCAATAGGTCATTTCTCTACAAGCCTTGCCAGACCAAAGTCACTTGTATCTTCCTGGGGCAAGTATGAGGAGAAACTCATTAACAGGGAAGTATAATGAGTGAGATGAATTCTTAGCAACAGTATTCATGGACATCATCCTGCATGGTTCTTATTGCTCACCTTCTGTAAATACCAAGTAATCCTCCGCCACTCCTCGCTAGCTAGACCTAATCCCATTTTCCAAACCAGGACACTAGTCAGTGAGGTCTCATGGCCTTTCCCCTACTCACTGCTTATACAACTCCCAGGGACTCCTCTTGATCCTTTGAGTTTATTCTCACTCCAGTTTTCACCCACCCAAAGGAGCGCAGATGCCTGAGCTGACTGAGAATCAGACTGCATTCCAGTGGCAGCTAGCCCTGGACCTAACCCCTATCCAGGCCTTTGCAGCCACCGGCCATTAGAAGCAGATTGGCTGGGTGTGGAGCAAGCTCTCCTGGTGGCGTGAAGAGGTCATGGGCTGTGTCAGTTCCTTCCTTCCCCTGGCACTGTCATTTGAGGTGAGTCACGTGTGGAGAAGTCAGTGTGGGTTCGTGACAGTCCAAGTCAGGAGCCACCCCCTACCTCCGCCTTCTGAGGAATAGGTCAGGCAGACCTCAGGATGCCAGGTTACTAGACACATATCCAGGGGTAGAAGGCACCTGTTAGGAATGCTGATTTCCCTACATCTTTTTTTTGTTTGTTTTTTAAGTAATCTCTAACCCCGATATGGGGCTCAAACTCACGACCCTGAGATAGAGTTGCACACTCCTCCGACTGAGCCAGCCAGGTGCCCCCCTACATATTTATTTAAGTTTTGAATAGGTAATAAGTTCATATGGTTCAGAAATCAAAACAGTATAAAAAGGCATACAGTGAGAACTCTTACTCCATCCTTGTCCCAGCCCATGTAACCCACCCGCCCCCATAGTTAACTCTTTGTAATAGTTTATTTGTCCAACTTTTCTTACACAGAACATAGCACATTCTGTATATTTTTGCAGGGGTGGCAGGATTGGATGGGATGGTCATGAGAGAGGTGACAGTTGGGATGAGATCTGAGTAATATGGGGACGTTCATGCTGAGATTGAGCAGAAGAGCATTTCAGGCAAAGAGAAGCCTCAAAAGTGAAGCTCCCGAAGCAGGAGTGAGCTGGATGTAAACAAAGAACAGAAAGGAGGCCAGACTAGCCTGAACACAGTACTGGGAGCGTGGTGTGAGGTGAGGAGAGGTCAGAGGCACAGGGCCAGATCCAGCATAATTTTATAGGTCCTGAGTAGGAGTTTGGATTTATTTTAAGTACAGTGGGAAGCCATTGTAAAGTTTGAGGCAGGGGAGTGATAAGATCTAGTTTTCATTTTGAAGTGATCACCCTGGCTGATGAAGGTAGACTGAATTATAAAGGGGTGGGGTAGAAGTAGGGAGGCCAGCTGGAAGACGTACTAAATAATGTAGGTGAGAGATGATAGCTTGACCTGGGTTCATGGCAGGACAGATGGGGAAAAGTGGACAAACTTAGGCTTTTTTTTTTTTTTTTTGAGATCTGTAAAGATTTTGAAAAGACTCAAATATGTCTTTGAGTGAAAAATAAAAATCTACTGAGAATGACTTTTTTTTTTTTTAAGATTTTATTTATTTATTTGACGGAGAGAGAGAGAGTGCGCAAGGAAGGGCGGCAGGCAGAGGGAGAGGGAGAAGCAGGCTCCTCGCTGAGCAGAGAGCCCTACATGGGGCTCGATCCCTGGACCTTGGGATCATGACCTGAGCCGAAGGCAAACGCTTAACCAACTGAGCCACCCAGGCGCCCTGAAAATGACTTCTTCCTTTACGAGGCCTTTCTGTGTTTCCAGTCTTTGGTATCTGTGAGCATCTTGAAGACAGAACCTGTTTTTGTATCTTAAGCACCTAGCAGAGTGTTTGGGACATGGCATGCCATTTATTCATCAACTACTAAGTGTATACTGTTTGTCCCATGCCAGAAGCCAGATGGTGTCTCCATGGAAGCCCAGGAATCCTCTCACTTTGAGGGATTCACTTCAGAGATTATCTGAGTTATCAGGGAAGGAAGCTGAAATAGGATCTTTATGAAACTGAGAAGAATGTGATTCTATGAGGAATTGGCTCTGTTTTGGAGGATAGGCCTTGCCATTAGGATGCAGGCAATGCCTCAGGTCAACCCTCATAAGATAGGAACTTGGGCCCCTACAGAGAGTACTCATCCTCTCACCAGGAGTTCCAGGCTTTTGTTTTGTTTTGCTTTGCTTTCCTACATTGCATTTTTGCCAGTAAATCCCTTCCCTGTGTCCTCTCTACTCATCCTTCAAGACCCGTATCAAATTCTGTCCTCTCCATAAATACCTGCCCTGACTGACCTAGCCTAGAAAGATCTCGTCCTCCTCTGGACTTTGGCATTTATTGTGTATGCAGTCCAGTTGGCAATTAAAAATCAGCTGTCTTATGTCATCTCTCCTATTGTCCTGGAATATTATTTATACCTCTTACTGTTATGTAACTTTTTTTTTTTAAGGTTATTTATTTATTTATTTATTTATTTGACAGAGACACAGCGAGAGAGGGAACACAAGCAGGGGGAGTGGGAGAGGGAGAAGCAGGCTTCCCGTGGAGCAGGGAGCCCATGTGGGACTCGATCCCAGGACACTGAGATCATGACCTGAGCCGGAGGCAGACGCTTAACAACTGAGCCACCCAGGCGCCCCTGTTATGTAACTTTTTACTTGTTTGTCTTATGTCACAATCCATTTGGAATCCTGAGCACAGGAAATCCATCTGAAGCCTGTCCCTGCACCATGCCTCGCCCGTGGCGCATCTGTACTTAGCTGTGACCCCAGGGACCTCTGGTCCTGGAAGCTGCTCGGAGGCTTGAGTGGCTTTGCGGAGTTATCGTATTCAGGCTCTTAGCTCCTGCTAATTCTCTTGTGCCCCCTTTGCCCTGCTTTTCCCTCTAGGCACCTCATTGTGAGCATGCTTTCTGCAACGCCTGCATCACCCAGTGGTTCTCTCAGCAGCAGACGTGTCCGGTGGACCGTAGCGTTGTGACGGTCGCTCACCTGCGCCCAGTACCTCGGATCATGCGGAACATGTTGTCAAAGCTGCAGATCGCCTGCGACAACGCTGTGTTTGGCTGTAGTGCTGTTGTCCGGCTTGACAACCTCATGTCTCACCTCAGCGACTGCGAACACAACCCCAAACGGCCTGTGACCTGTGAGCAGGGCTGCGGGTGAGATTGCTTCCCTTCCTCTGCCCCGCACAGATGAGGGCCTTCCAGTTTGTGACCCACCCCACACGCTGCCCACACTCCCCATCCCCACTCCTGTGTCTCCGGATCCCCTGCTTACCAGCTCAGGAGGTCTCCTTGGAATGTACGCAGGAGTGTCCTTGGCCTCCCTGTCTCCCTGTCCCGAGACCGCACTTCCATGATGCTTTTTGCTCTTGCTTTAATAAAAGAGAGGAGGCAACAATTCCCAGTCTGTGTGCTAATACTACGGACTGGTTTCCTTTATTCTTCCCTGTCAGCCCGGTACTCCTTTCTCTTTATCAGATTAACTGGTCTGATTTCTAAGCTTCTCATATATCCTCTTGCCCTGTTTTTTTTTTTCTTTCTTTGGGGTGTGAAGTATTTGATTAAATACTGCTCGCTAGGGCTGTGAATCTAGGGCTTCTCAGAAGGAATGAGTGCACAGGCAGAATCTGTAGGAGGAAAGGAGACTCATGTGGTAGATAAAACACTGTCTTAGAAAGGGAAGGAGGCCCAGAGAAAGTAGAGAGCAAAGGAGTACAGGGGGAAGGGGGGAGCTAGGGGGAAGGAAGTGAAGGGAATAAATAAGAGGGAGGCCCGAATATTCGAAATCTGGGCTAGGAGAAGGCCGTCTCAGCAATTTTCTGCCTTTGCCCACATGTCCCATTGAATGCTTCTGTTCTACTTTTTTCCCCACCCTGGGTGGCAGCCTGGAGATGCCCAAAGATGAGCTGCCAAACCACAACTGCATTAAGCACCTGCGCTCCGTGGTGCAGCAGCAGCAGACCCGCATCGCAGAGCTGGAGAAGACCTCCGCTGAGCACAAACACCAGCTGGCGGAGCAGGTAGGCCCCGGCGAACGCGGGAGAGAACCTGTCCCTAATGTGCGGATAAGGGTGTAGAACAGATATGTAACTGTGTGTGACTACACACGTGTGTGTGTGTGTGTGTGTATACGCTGTGTATATATGCGGATGACTGGGGGCGAGGAGCACCAATGTGAGCATGCAGGGGTGTGTGTGTGCGTGCGCGCGCGCGCACACGCGCACAGTCCTGCGCGTGCACACGGCTGGGTGAGTAGATACTCTGCCTGTGGCTTTGGTAGGGAATCAGATTGGAGCTCTTCTCCCTTTCCTTCATCGCATCAATGTCATTCGTTCACCTAACATTAATTAACTGCCTCCTCTAAGGGGGTACTCTGCTAAGCACTAGGGATATAGCTGCGAATGAGACAGTCACATCCCCATCTTTGTGAAGCTTACAGGTCTGGGTGTTCCTCAGATGCCTCAGTTGCCCTCATTCTAAGACAAACTTTTGTCTTTCATTTGTTGTCTGCCCTAACCATCATCTGTGATTCTTCTTCACGCCCACAGAAGCGAGATATCCAGCTGCTAAAGGCATACATGCGTGCAATCCGCAGTGTCAACCCCAACCTTCAGAACCTGGAGGAGACTATTGAATACAACGAGATCCTAGAGTGAGTGTCACTCGGGACGTGGAGTCACTTGCCCCACGTCCTGGCACTGAGCCCTGAGAGGAGGAGGAGCAGGGGAGTGGCAGAAGGAGGGTAATAAGAGGGCTGGGCTGGGGCCACCGCTTTTCAGATGTTGGGATGGACAGGGACAGAGAAGAGGACAACTTTCAGCCCCACTATAGGATCTCTTATTCTTTGGGGTGGATGGAGGGGAAAGCTTACACAAGGACGCAGTTCATCCAGACTTAAGTGAGTGCCCACATAGACAGAGCCCTGTATTAAAGGCTGTGGAGTGCTAGGAGGGCCACGAAGGAAGAGATACTGCCCCTGTCGTCAGGTAGCTTACAGTCCAGAGAAGAGAGTGCAAATCCATGAGAGTGATCTAAAGTGCAGCATAAACAAGCAAAGTTGAAAATCCCTTTCAGTGCTGGAGTCCTGTACAATTCACAGACCAGAGTCTAAGTGTGAATCAGTATATGTCGTGCCAACAGTGCTGTGTGGGGCACAGTGTAGAGGAACCATTGCTCCATTCAATACACGATTATTTGTTTGTTTGTTTTAAGATTTTATTTATTTATTTGACAGACAGCGAGTGAGGGAAAAGCAGGGGGAGTGGGAGAGGGAGAAGCAGGCTCCCCACTGAGCAGAGAGCCCGATGCGGGGCTTGATCCCAAGACTCTGGGATCATGATCTGAGCCAAAGGCAGCTGCCTAACTGAGTGAGCCACCCAGGCACCCCTGTTTGTTTGTTTTTTTAAAGGTTTTATTTATTTATTTGACAGAGAGACAGCGAGAACAGGAACACAAGCAGGGGAAGTGGGAGAGGGAGAAGCAAACTCCCCGCCGAGCAGGGAGCCCGATGTGGGGCTCGATCCCAGGACCCTGGGACCATGACCTGAGCCGAAGGCAGACGCTCAACGACTGAGCCACCCAGGCGCCCCCAATACACATTTATTGAGCACTTAGTATGTGCCAGGCACTGTATGTGCTCAGTATTGGGATTTTTTTGTTTTTGTTTTTTTTGACAGAGAGACACAGCGAGAGAGGGAACACAAGCAGGGGAGTGGGAGAGAGAGAAGCAGGCTTCCCTCGGAGCAGGGAGCCCAATGTGGGGCTCGATCCCAGGACCCTGGGATCATGACCTGAGCTGAAGGCAGACACTTAACGACTGAGCCACCCAGGTGCCCCTAAGTATTGGGATTTTAAGAAAAATGATGGAAACTCTTCACTTGTAGAGTTTAATCTGGTGAGTGAGTGACATGTAGTGACTCACAGGGGACCAAGTAGGGGGAGATTTGGAATTTCTGAACCAGTGATGGAAAAAGGAAGATGGAAGATCAGGGTTGAGCCGAGCACAGAGCAGGTGGTCATTCCTATTAGGAGAAAAAGCCAGTGCAGAGAAGGGGGATGAGCTGGAGTGACCATCTCCCACGCCCTCCACACAGGTGGGTGAACTCCCTGCAGCCCGCAAGAGTGACCCGCTGGGGAGGGATGATCTCGACCCCAGATGCTGTACTCCAGGCTGTAATCAAGCGCTCCCTGGTGGAGAGTGGCTGTCCTGCCTCTATCGTCAACGAGCTGATTGAAAATGCCCACGAGCGGAGCTGGCCCCAGGGTCTGGCCACCCTAGAGACAAGACAGATGAACCGGCGCTACTATGAGAACTACGTGGCCAAGCGCATCCCTGGCAAGCAGGCTGTGGTCGTGATGGCCTGTGAGAACCAGCACATGGGCGATGACATGGTGCAGGAGCCGGGGCTTGTCATGATCTTTGCGCATGGCGTGGAAGAGATATAGGAGCTCTCGACAGGCTAGCAGGAAGAGATGGCGACCAGAAAACCCATCACTCCAGCAGCTGGCTTCTGAGTCCTCCCTACTATCCACAGTACCGTGGCCTACACGTGGGCTGCACGTTTCCCTACACTTCTGGCACTGAAGGGCCCAGGGCACTTTGCTCAGCCTTTCAGGTGGGAAACCCAGATTCATCCCTTTTGCCTAATTTCTTCCCCTAAGATGTCTGTAAATTTTCAGTCAGTTTGGGAAAAGTCCCCACCTCTATATCTGTTTTCCTGCCTAGGGTCCCTGGTTCTAGATATTTTTAGAAAGCACAAAGAATTCATTTTCTCTAGAGGATCAGGGCGAAGTGAGGACTATCTGATCATTCCCCCTCCTCCAAAACCAGGGAATTAGAGCGGGCAGGTCTGTTGACACTAAACAGCATGCAAGGGCAGCTCTGGGGAGCAGACATCCTGAAGAAATGGTAAGGGTGGGATCAAAACCCTAGAAATAAGCAGTGAGGCCAGGAACTGGCCCTGAGGGGAACTGATGGCCCTTAGGGGAAGACAGGACCTCTGTGCCAAGTAATACCCTGTCCAGCGCACCTTCTGGATGCAGGTTCCTGCTGCTTCTGCAGGTGTGCAGGCTGGGATGCCGGAATTTTCCAGATGAGTTCTGCTTTCCAACATTTTCTCTTAGTTAGGGAATGACAGGGTTGGGGGTAGGGGATTAGTCTGTTGGGGTGGATGTGCTCAGCAAGAAGCAGCTCTCTGGCTTTTGCTGATATCAGGTAGGCACTGCCTCTGGCTTGGGCCATAATAGTTCCATAGACCCCTCTCCAACCCTGTGATTGTAACTAGTTATTTTGATAATTTCCTTTGGCCATTGTTGTTTGTATTTCCTTCCCCCCTCCCACTTTTTTTTTTTTTAGAATGGCCTGGTTATGGCTACCCCACTTTTCCAGCCCAGCCACATTGTTGGCAATCTAATTTATTTACTTTTTTTTTTTTAAGAAAGGAAAAAGAAAAAAAAATTAACAAAGCTCAAAACTTTCTTTTTGATGTTCCTATTGTGGGGATTCTGGATAGGGTGGGACAGGGATGGGGGATCTGTTTTATATTTTTCCTTTTCAGCACAACCATTGGCTTTAATATAGGAAGGGCCAAGGGAGTCCTCGGCTGAACCTATGTCTGCCCCAACCCTCCATCACCCCATCTGAGATGAGGCGCTTCCTCTATTCCAGTGATGGATGCGACAGCCCAATATCCATGCCTGTGCCCTCTGGAGAACTTTGCTCCCAGCCCTTCCACTGGTCTTCTTGTAAAACTCTGTATTTATAGAGTGTTAATTTTGAAGACATTTCCACCCCCCAACCCCCGGTTTCCTTGGAGATCCAGACTTGGATTCTAAGCTTCACCAGGCAAGATGGGAGAGACATGATGTCTCTGTGTCTCTGAGTACAGGCTGTGCTCTGGTCTCACGCATGCCCTCTAAGGACTTCAGCTCCATTTTCGGCTACCTGGGCATTCCTTGATCTTTAGGGTGGCTGGTAGAATAAGAGAAGGGGAGGGATAGAGGGTGTGATTATTTTAATAGGCAGGTGTGAGTGGGGTTGAAGAGATATGGCCATATAACAGCTACTTCTCTCTTTGGAGTTTTATTCCAGGCCAGCTTGCTGTGGGTCTGGGGAGTTGGGTCATGCTCCACTGGGAATGGGGTGGAGGGATACAGCTTGAAGGGAGTAGGGAACAGTCCTATGTTCCAGCTCCAGGACATTGTGCTCAGGAATTTGAAAACGCTGCTATACTTAGTCTGGTTACTACATTTCTTCCACTCCCCTCTGCCCCTGCCCTCCTTACCAAGGCCCATACCCTCCTGTCGTTACCCTCAGACGGAGCCAGGAAGCTCAGTTAAGGCTTCCCTCCCCTTTGCACTAGTGTCTCTGCGGGTTGCTGGTTGTGTTATATGTGCTGTTCCATGGTGTTGACTGCACTAATAATAAACCTTTTACTCAACTCTCAGTTCTTAATCCAACATCACTCCCTTTCTTGTGAAGCTTTCTCCTCTGCTTTGGCCTTTCTCTCACCCTGATTCCCCTTATTTTGCTTTATAACCTACCCTTGTCTTAGAACTAACCTCTGTTTTAGCACAATGTCTGGGAGTGTGCACCTCACTTTTTTGTCCTTTGTGCCCTCCTACCACCTTCCCTCCTGTCTCCTGGTCTGTAGCAGCTGACATGTTCTCGCCAGTGATCTGAACTGTGCTCTTTCCAGAGTTTGCCTTTGCCCCAAATTCCATGTCTTCCCTAAGTGCTCCTGGAGTTTTAGGACCGCTTCTACAGAAGGTATGCATGCACCCTTCTCCCTTGTCCCACAGGCACCTTTGTTTCGGAATCTGGGACTCCATCACCCAGTGTGTCCTAACCAAGAAAGTAAACACGGGGAAGGAGCGTGGGATGACTTCACTGCTCTGGTTGTCAAATCTCGATAAAGCCTTACCCCTAGGCATTTGCTGCCACCTGCTCTTCGGTCATGAGAAAAAGGAAATATTTTCCCCCAGTAGTGTCTTTTAAATTTGTTGAGTGTTTATGATGCACTTAGTGTAAATCCATTAGCACTCTAGATACTCTAGTGGGGCTAAAAAGCAAAAGGGCAGAGGACATCCCTGGGCCCACTGAGTCTTTTACACTTGCATGCACTCAAGCTCTGATTCTAAGATACTGGTGAACACATGACACTGTAGAGCGGCAGAGGTAACAGGTATAGTATCTAGTATATATATATAGTACCTAGGGATACCAGGAGTGCTCTTTTTTTCCCTGAAGCTCCTTCAAAATTACTTTCAGAACCTGCTTTCCGTTCTTTTGAATGTCACAAATGGTGCCAGTCTTTCTTTTGGGGTAGATTTGGTTTTGGGGAACACTATTCATTGGCTGTATTCTGCAAGGAACTCAGGTGGGGATGGGTGTCGTGCAGCACGGCAGCACCCACTTTGAAAGAACTTACTCCAGAAGGGAGATAAATATATACTAGAGTAAGACGTAATAAATGTGGTAAGTAGATCTACAAGCAATACGTGAGCAGAGGGAAGATAAAGGCACTGACTCTGATGGGTACCAGGAAAGACTTGTTTCGGAGACATGGTATTTGTTCTGGATCAGAGGTTGGCATCCTGCTGCCTGCTTTTGTAAAAATGTTTTACTGGAACACAGCCATGCCTGTTTGCTTATGTATTGTCTGTGGCTGCTTTTAGATTACAGCAGCAGAGTGGAGTCGTTCCACAGAACTATGACCCACAAAGCCTAAAATGTTTGCCACTTGGCTCTGTAGAAAGTTTGCCAACCCATTCTAGACTTTTAAGGTCAGGAGAATGGGCGGGGGAAGCATGAAGGTTGGTTTCGATTCTTCATAATTTGAAGAATCAGAACATTTTTCTATATTGCTGCCATAACAAATGCTTAAAATTAATCTATATTCACATTTCTCCAGTTGTCTCAAGAAAAGTACTTTTATTTATTTGAGAGAGAGAGCACACAAGCAGGGGGAGGGGCAGAGAGAAGGAGAAGCAGGCTCTCTGCTGAGTAGGGAGCCCGACATGGGGCTCGATCCCAAGACCCTGAGATCATGACCTGAGCCAAAGGCAGACCCTTAACCGACTGAGCCACCCAGGCACCCAAGAAAAGTACTTTTAGAGTTAGTTTTTGTCCAGTCCTGGATCCAATCCAGGAAGCATGCATTACACTAGGTTATGTGTCTTAACTATCTTTTATACTTTTTAAAAGATTTTATTTATTTGAGAGAGAGAGATAGCAAGAGAGCACACAAGTGGGGAGAGGGAGAAGCAGGCTCCCCATTGAGCAGGCAGCCTGATATGGGACTTGATCCCAGGACCCTGGGATCATGACCTGAGCCAAAGGCAGACACTTAACCAACTGAGTCACCCAGGTGCCCTACTTTTATACTTTTTAAAAAAGATTTTACTTATTGAGAGAAAGTATGTGCAAGTTGTGGGGGAGGGGCAGAGGGAGAAGGAGAATCCCAAGCAGACTCTGCGCTGAGCGTGAAGCCTGACGTGGGGCTCCATCTCAGGACCCTGGGATCATAACCTGAGCCGAAATCAATATTCCGATGCTTAACTGACTGAGCCACCCAGGCGCCCCATTTATACTCTTAATCTAGATTCCTGGAACAACGTTTTGTTTTTTTTTTCTTAAGATTTTATTTATTTGCGAGAGAGACAATGAGAGACAGAGAGCATGAGAGGGAGGAGGGTCAGAGGGAGAAGCAGACTCCCTGCTGAGCAGGGAGCCCGATGTGGGACTCGATCCTGGGACTCCAGGATCATGACCTGAGCCGAAGGCAGTCGCTTAACCAACTGAGCCACCCAGGCGCCCCTGGAACAACCTTTTTTGTAACAGTGATCTGTTGAAGAGATTGGGCCAGTTGTCCTGGAGAGTGGTCTTTTGGATTTGATTGATTGCTTCTTCACAGTGCCCCTTAACTTCCTTTACCCCTATTTTTACTAAACAATTAGATCTAGAGCCTGAGAGATTCAAGTTAAGCAGTTCTGGGGATAGAAGACATCATAGGAGAGATGTTTTTTATGTTGTGTAACATCAGGAGATAGGTCCAGTTGTCCCACCATTAGCCTGGTTTCTTCATTTACACTTGGGATTGTTGAGAGGGTTTTTATTTTATTTTTTTTAAGATTTTATTTATTTGACAGAGACAGTGAGAGCAGGAACACGAGCAGGGGGAGTGGGAGAGGGAGAAGCAGGCCTCCGGCCGAGCAGGAAGCCCAATGCGGGACTCGATGAGAGGGTTTTTAAAAGCTGGCTGCGTGTCCTGGGAGAAGGGGACAGCCGGCAGTGCAGCTCAGCTCAGTTGCTGCCACACTAGAACGGAGGCCCCACATTGCCAAATCTTACTTTCCAAGAACCATCGGCCATCCTAGTGCTTATGCCAAGTCTCACAAATTTTAAGTGTTGGCTCAATTAAAAAAAAACACTTGTGGCCCCCCCAAAAATCTAGGGTCCATCGGTTTGCAACCTCTGCTTTGGGTTTAGATCATAGCATGAATAAAAACAAGTGGAGGTGAAGGATATGTTGAAGAAAGAAGAGACTAGTGTCATCTGGAGCACTGAGTTTGTCGAAGGAAATACTGAAAGATAAGACCAGAAAATTATTTTGGGGCCAATTCTGGGAGGCTTTGACTACATGGCAGGGTATTTTGACTTTAATTTTACAGGTAAGTTTTTGACAAGAGTAACTTCCAGCTCATGATTCTGGTGGCAATATTAAATAAGCTTTGCTGTAATTCATGCAAGAGGTTTAGAGCTTGAAAGAGTAGGAAAGAACAAGAGACATCAGGGAAGAAAACTGATCGGCCTTAGTAACTGACTAGATTCACTCAGCCAACATTTATAGCTTACATGTCCTGTGTCACGTGTGGTGTTAGGCATTTAAGATACACAAATACTTGAGAAACAAGTCCTTAAAGGAATTTGTAGTTTAGTAGGTGACAGGCACTTACGTAAGGAATGGGAAATACAGAACAATACATTGCTAATAAAGATTCAGTACGATGGGACAATGAGGAGGAAAGGGGTCAGTTACCTACTACCAATGGTGAGATGCTTCTCAGAAGAATCACTGAACTGAGTTCTGAACAGGTTCAGATACTGGCAGTGAGGAAAGGGGGTTGAGCATTTACTGTTGAGTCAGGCATTATTGTAAGTATCAAACATTTCGACTTCCCAACAACTTTATTAAAAGGCGCTATTGCCATCTCCATTTTCTATGTGGGGAAATAGACAACAAAATTAACATGGGTAATATCAGAACTGGGATTTGAACCCAGAAAGTCATTTCAGAGCCTGAGTTCCTAACCACTGCACCTAACAAGAGGCACATAACCAAAGAGGAATCACAGATAAAGACTAAGATTTCTTGTCCGTGAGAATGAAAGATAGGGTCATTACTAACCTGAATAGGGAGGAGGAGAGGATGAGCAGGTTTCAGGGGTGAAGTAATGAGCTCATGTGGGGAAC